ATGAATAAGTCAAAATGTCCCTGTTGTTTCAAGATTAATCAGCATACGGGCAGCTAGGTGGCACAGTGGATAGAGCACCGGCCCTGCAGTCAAGAGGACCTGAGTTCAAATCAGACCAAACACTTGACACTTACTAGCTGTGTGACCCTGGGCAAGTCACTTAACCCCAATTGCCTAAAAAACAAAAAATAAAACAAGAAAAAAGATTAATCAGCATAAATATCATACATGCAGATCTCAAATGTCCCTGCTGAAGAAGGGAAGAAATGATTCAGAATGTACTATATGTGATTGGGAGGAGGGGAGGGGTAGAGAAGTCACGAGTGACATCTCAGGTTTATCTTCCGAACAATGATTTGCTTGCATTTGCCATAATGATAATAATTTTGTGTTTACAAAGTGACTTCAAGGTTTACCAAGTTTTTAAAGCCTCACAAACCCTGTTCAATAATTGGTACAAGTATCATTGTTCCCATTTTACAGATGAGGAAATTGAAATTTAAGAGAGATCAAAGGATTATGTATTTACAACTGAAAAGGAACTCAAAAGTGAGCTAGACAAACCCTCTCATTTTACCGTTGAGAAAACTGATGTCCAGAGAAGGTAACCATAGTGTCACAGGCATCATAGTAAGTAGTGGATCCAGAATTTGAACCCCAGGTCTTCTGACTCCCAAGGCCAGCACTCTTTCCACCACACCATTTTGACAGTATCTGTGTCTCTTCTCCAATGCAGAATCACAAATTTTTTGGCCATAGCAACTCTCCAGTACTATCTACTAACTCTTGGAGGGATTGGTGTGACTGTGGTGGAGAGAATATCCCCACCAGTGAAATTGCAGATCATTGAAAGGTTGATACATTTTGGTAGCTTTTTAAGGTCTCCATGTTGTTCTCCTTTTCATTCATATAACAGACATTTATTAAGGACCAACTGTATTCCAGGTACTAGGTGAAGTGTCGTGATACAAAGACAAAAATTGAAATAATGCTTGCCCTCAAATAGCTCACTAGGTCTCCTCAGAACAATCCTGTTGGGTAGTTAGTGTAACCTTTATTCACTTATTAACAATAAATATGTGAGTTACTATGTAAAATGATGTATTATAGAAATGTTATTATTATTCCTATTATTTTATATAGGATCCTTGATTAAGAGCTGAAAGAAAACTTAGTGGTCATTTAGTTCATTTTACAGTGGAACAGCCGAGACCCAGAAAAACTTGGTGACCGACCCTTGGTCACAAAGGTAGTAACTAGCAGAACTAAGATGTGAACTCAGGTCTTTTGACACCTGGTAACCTCTTTCTTTTGTGCTGTGCTGTTTCTGTGAGTGTGGCCAGACTTCGGAATAGACAGAGGAGAGGGCGGATATAGGGGAAGGGAGGGAGGGAGGGAGGAAAACAAAATTCTTGGTTCTGTGGACATTAAATTTGTGATGAGTAGACCTTACCATATGGATAGAAACCAAGGAGCATTATGTGACATCCCAGAATTAGCAGGATCTAACAGCTTGAAAGCTAGCCCTGGAGAAGTCTCTGGGTGAGTTTGTGGGCCTTGAAGATTTTGAAGAGATGAGCCACGAAGTCTTATTTCCTTTTAGGGATACCTATGAGTAGATGGTACTTTCTCTCCCCTTTCCTAGTGAGAGAACAGAGGTTTGCCTTCACTTAGCTCCCAACCAGGGGGAACCAGTCAATCGATATTTATTAAGTGCCTACTGGTTGCCAAACATTTTATCTAGAGACTAAGTTTCCGCTTGGGTATGATGAGAAAGATGGACTTCAGCTGAGAAAGAGCTTTCTGCCTTTGGAAGGGGTTAGGTCCTGGGTCTAAATGGAATGTGCAGTCTTTGTGCTATGCTTCAGTGATGCTTAAATTTTTGTTATGTTCTGTATAATCCAATTAAGTGCTTTGTGCAGTATGCCCTTGTGAGTAATCTTAAATGGGGATGAATGGGAGGAACCAGCAGCATGAGCTATGAGATTTGATTAGATAATGTAGACCCAATCCCAGTCTAAGAAGGAATCCAAATCCACAAAGGGGCAGAATGAAGATGTGAGTGACAGCTAGCTTCTCTGAGGGCCTGACAGAGGCAAAGGAAAAATGAAGCCTGGCAGGTACTTCCCTGCCATACCATACTTGGTGATGTATGTGCCATGTAGATAAGAAACTGAGGTGCTAAAATGATGCATGCATTGGCTATAACAGAATAATAATGACTAAACCAGTAGTTTATACTCAAGCTGAACAAGGAGGTATTTTAAGAGACCCTAGTTGCCCATGTCATGTAATCTGACCCCGAAGAGTTAGATGCTTGGGTATTGAATGAATTAGCATGTGTGATTCCTAGGACATCGGCAGTGGTTGTTGAAAGATTGTAAAGAAAGGGAGAAGTCCTACAGGTCTGGAGAAAGAGCAAATATCCTCATTTTCATAAAAGGGAAGAAAGCCTGCAACCTGTAGGTCAGTGAGACTGACATTGATTTTTTGGAAAAATTGTAGAGAGCATTATAAGCCACAGTTTGGTGAAGATTTAGAAAAAAGGGATCTATGATCCCAGAGAACTAACATGGCCTCATCAAGAACAGGGATGTCAGATGTAAGCTTTTTGGAAAGGATTTATAAATGAATGGATGGGGAGAATGTTGTCAATGTTGTTTACCTAGATTTTAGCAAAGCATTTGAGAAAGTATCTCATGGTATTTTTTACACAAGAGATATGTAGTAGACAATAATAATCAAATGCATTAAGAACTGGTTGAATAGTGGGACTCAATTTCCACTTGAATCAGTTACAGCTTTGTAGGAAGTTCCTAGTGGAGTACCCCGCTTGTGCTTGGCACTGTGCTCTTTGTATGATTTGAGTATAGTCATAGATGCCATGTTCATCAAATTTTCAGATGGAATCGCCAGTGGCATCTGGGATGGACAGCTAACAGATCACATGAGAAGACAGGTCATGATCCAAAAAGATCTTAATAGGCTACAGCATTTGGGCTGAATCTAATATAATGCAACTCAGTAGCAATAAATATAAATTCTTATACTTAGATTCAGAAAAGTCAAGTTCACAGGGATGAGTGTGAAATGGTTAGAATTTCTGAAAAAGATCTTTGATAGTTTTAGTGGATTGCAAACCCAATTTTCTACAGTAGTCAAAAAAGGCTCAAAAAACCATCTTTGGTTGCATTAGGAGAGGCATAACTTCCAGGAATAAGCAAGTGTACTCTTTGTACTCTACCCTGGTCAGCCACATCTGATTGTGTTCTGTTCTGGGCACCACACTTCAAGGAAAACGCTGATAATCTAGAGAGTGCCTAAAGGAGGGCAACCAGGATGGTGAATAGCCTTGAGGTCACACAGTATTAGAATTAGTTGATTCCAAGTCCAGAACACTTTATACTCAACCATATCACCTTTGTGGGTGCATCTTCACAGCCCAGCATGCACCAGATGGGCACCTGGGTTTAGGCTCTGCAAGATTGCTTTTCTTTCTCTTTAGTACTACAACAGGGTTGTAAGGGTCAAGTAAGATAATGTGTGTAAAATGATTGGTAAACCTTAAAGGTATTATGTTGTTAACTTCTGTTTATTTCCACTGCAGATTAATTAAGTAGTTATGGTGTCTTTTCTCCTACACCAAGTCAAAAATAAGTGTAAGGATGATTTGATTCTTTGGATTTTCCATAGGGTGGCTGGTCCACCATCCTGGGCTTGTTGCTATATTCATCCACTCCATTTATACCCTTGTATAAGGCTAAGGCTGATATAACTGGCAACATAATTTTTGATTTATCTGACAATTTAGAATACCTCACTATAACTTCCTTCTATTAGCACATTTCATTGTTAACTGGCAGTATTATAAATGGGGCACGCTTCCCTCTTTGTGCTAAGGCTGCTTTGAAAGTTGTAATTTTTGTAAATTATTGAGTCCTGTTTTAACTATACCAGAGGAGTTTGACATGAAAAAGAATCCCAGAATGAACTCATTTTATATGGGTTCTATGGCTCCATTTGGACAAATCTCTAATTATATGGAGAGAGGAGGCCAGGAGAGGGGCCACTAGATTTGGTCAGAGGACTTGGGTTCAAATTTGCTACTTAGTACTTGTGTGATATAGGGCAGTAATCCTGTAACCTTTCTGGTCCTGAATTTCCTTTCCTATAAAGTGACAGGTTTACATGATCTCTAATTATTCGACTCTAAATCCTTCTATATTTTATATTTTAATATATAAATTTTAATTTATTACATATATTTTATTTTTATTTAATGTATTTTATATTAGATTTGTTTAAAGCTAGGGACTCTGTATAAGGAAGAAAAAAAACAGTGTCAGTCAAGACTCAGTAAATATTTTGCATGGAAAGCCTTCATTGACTGAACCTGTATTTTACATGCCTCTAAGCCTCCTAGGCAGGAAAATCCTTGCATTATCCTTTACAGCAAGTTCAGGTACCTGTACTGTAAAACTGCTAGGATCCTCCCAGCATCCAGAGAGTGAAAAGACTTGTAAAACACACCTTTCAAGATATGACTGATAGCTTTCTCAGTGAGAGGGGGGCAGGGAGGGAAGGAGAGAATTTGGAACTCAAAATTTAAAAAAAAGTTAAAATTTTTTCACATGTAATGGGAAAAAATTAAATATTTAAAAAATAAAAAAGTGGTTTAATGTGTAAAAGAAAAGAAAAGATATGATTGATAGCCAATACTGGGACCTCCTTCTAAGAGGGCTCAGATTACTCTGGACCCTTAAAGGCCCAGAATGCAGCCAATTTCCTCAAGCACAGTAGTCCAGATAGGGCATAGATTAGCTGTGATTTATGTCCATTCTAGAGAAGTCAGTGCTGTTTGAACTTAACAATTTGCAATGTTTCTCATTTGGGACTTGCCCCCATGACCCATTTTAGGTGGTCTTCCATCCCACATTGCTTGGTTGTGCATGAAGTAAAATCTCTCTGAGCTTTGTTTCTTATCTCCTTTCTTTAGGAAGTCCTCCAGCAGCTGATTGTAATGAATTTACCCAATGTTTTGATGATTGGCAAAGACCCCCTGTCTGGTAAGTATGTTCTTACATCTCCAAGCCTGGTCAGTTCCACAGGTTTTTTGTACAGCTCATGGCAAAGGGCTGCTAGGTTGGATCCAACACAATGTGGAGGATCTCCATGGTCTCCAGATTTAAAACGATAGGTTTATTATCAGTGGCATTAAGGCAAGAGCACATTTTCTCCTATAAGGATAAATCACTTTCCATTTCCCATCCAGCTGATTCTTGAGGGTGATAAGATATATTCCAGCCCTGAAATTCTCTGATCCCAAGAACTTAACATCTGACTTGCAGTTTGTCTTGGAGGACTTGTCTGTGCCATTCATTTGTTCATTCATTCATTTATTCATTCATACATGCTTTCTCCCAAATAAAATGTGTGGGCATATTAATCAGTAGTGGCGTGGATGTTATGTGTACATTCATTAGTAAACCTGCATTAAGCACCTACTCTATGTAGTAGTCTCTGTTTGAAATTAAGCAGCAATCTCTCTGTAAAATTGATGTAAACAGAATTAAGTGTTCTAATGCCCTGCCCCTGACACAGAGTAGGACATTGTGAAATAGCTGTGGATGGATTGATGGATAAGCAAGGCTAAGACCTTTGTTTCTTGTTGACATTTCACTTTATTGGTAGGTGGTAGACATAAGCTTTCAGGTCCAGAAGAGGTCATGTTACTAATTGTAACCCTTTCCTGTCTTTGTTGACACTTGATTCAGTTTTCTCATCTATTAAGTGGGATATTAATGTCACCTTTAGAACCTACCTCCCTGACTGTGAAGCCAGCATGGATTTGGTGTGGCCCCAGGGGAAGGAAAGGTAACAAGCATTTATGAAACCCCTACTATGTGCTATGCACTATGCTAAGTGATAGAAAGATTTTATTTCATTTGAACCTCACAACAACTCTGGAAGGGATGTGCTCTTTTTATCTCCATTACACAATTGAGGAAACTGAGACCGAAAGGTTAAGTGGCTTGCCTGGGGTCACGTGGCCTAGCATCTGAAGTAGGATTTGAGCTCAGGTCTTCCCAGTGCTCTGTCCACTATGCCCTGCCCCAAGGTGTGCTGGAACACCTGACCACCCTCTTTGTAGTCAGACTTATGCCTCTCGCATTGGCTTGTTGTGAGAACCAAAGGGGATGATACACATAAGGCGCTTTGCAGACTTTAAAAATACTCTACAACTGTCAGCTGTTGTTGTTATTCATCTTTTCTGAGCATTTTGTAACGAGGGGAATAGGAAAATCAGTCGAGTCTAAGTCAGTAGGAAATGAAGAAGTGCGAGATCGCCAATTTAAAATGTATTTCAGTAACTCCCATTTACCAAGGCACAATGGTAGGTGCTAGGTATGCAAAGACTAAAATCCCTCCCCCAAAACCCAATATTCCCTGCCATCTCGAAGCTTACCTTCTTGAGGGTCAGAGTGATGATGACAATATAGCATGTACATGGTTGCATATAATTCAAATAATCTAGAAGAAAGAAAAACAGCTACTAACTAAAGTAATCAGGGAGTGTGCTTCACAGAGGGGGTGACAGGCCTGAGGACAGTCTGGAAAGAAGATAGGAATTCAAATGAGGTAATATTTGTCAAGTGATTCGCATAGTGCCTGGCACATAGTAGGTGCTATATTTCCTTCCCTTCTTCAAAGCATTGATTACATATTTGGCCCCATAGGGATATGTAGTCCAGTAGAGGTACTGCTGCCATGTATGGTCTGTCATGGCGTAGTTAGAAACAGGTTTAGAAAGCAGAAATGTGTTCCCCCTCTCCGCACCTGCTGTGCCTTCCATCTTCCATCTTCCATCTCTGTTTAATATTAAAAAGTCTGAATCCTGGATTCTGGAGCTGTGTATTTGTTTTCCCCCTCTGTATCCCCAGTGCCCAGCCCAGTATCTGATAGATATGTAGTAGGTGATTAATGAAATGTTGTTAATTAAATTGATTGACAAGGAAACAACAGACACATGTGGATGACAGAGGGAGAAAACCAACTTTTTTTTTTTTAAGCAACATTAACCCCGAGTTGAATTCCCATCTCTTCAGTTTTAGAATCCAGGGAAGGCTTTAGGCCATTCTGCCTGACAAATCTCTGTATCACGAGATCTGAAGATGGGACCTTGGAGACTTTTTAATCCACCCCCCCCATTTTATTTTTTTCTTAAATTTAATTTAATTTTATTTTCTGTTCTAAATTATCTCCCTCTCCCTCTTAATTCCCCACTCATAGAGAGGGCAAGAAAAACAAAGCACATTACAAATATGTGTAGTTATGCAAAAGAAATTCCCACAATAGCTGAGTAAGAGAGAAAGGAAGGAAGAGAAAGAAGGCAAGAAAATATACTTTGATCTGCACTGCAGCTGTCTCTTCTCTATCTAGAGGTTCTTCATCATGAATCCTTTGGAAATGTAATTGGTCATTGCAACCTCCTCATTTTACAGAGGAGGATGCTGAGGCCCACAGAGTTAGAAGAAAGTTGGTTAAGGCCACCCAGTTATTTGGGATTTGGACTAACTCCAGTCTTCTTTCTGCTCCACCCTGCTTGTGTCCCAGTCCTTTGGGTTAAGTCAGCTTTGGCGGTCCAGTTTGGTTTCTGTTCTCTACCTGGTCGACCTAGCAGTTAACTTTTAGCGTATTCAAAGAAACAGATTTACTTAGGCTCAGGCCTAGCTGGATCATAAACACCACATAGCAGGAAACCCCATTTAAGTTAGGGGAACATTGACCTTGTCAGTTCCTGGTAGTAAACACCTCTAGTAAATGCTTCTCACTAAAATCCTCAAGAAGTTAGATCCTTCACCAATTGACTTTTCTATCATTTGCTTCTTTATTTTGTTTCACAGCTGTCCTAAGGAATGACTAAAATATGAAATGCAGGTTTTCTTCTCTTCAGTTCTCCCTTTCTGATGACCCCTTTCTCATGTTAGACTTCCTTAAGACAGAGAGTGACTTGAATGAAAGAGGCCCTGCCGTCCTGCAGACTCAGAGTTTGGGGGGTTCAGTATTTTAAGGACATTAACAAACATTAGACTGGACTCAGAGGATCCTAGTGAAGACTGTTGAAAGGTCTTGAGACCAGACTACACAAAGATCAGTTGAAGAAATAAGAGTTTTTGGAGCAGCGAGGTGGCGCAGAGCACCAGCCTTGAAGTCACAGGACCTGAGTTCAAATCTGGCCTCGGACCAAACACTTGACACTTACTAGCTGTGTGACTCTGGGCAAGTCACTTAACCCCAACCCAGTTGCCTTGAAAAAAAATGAAGAATTTTTAACCATGAGAAGACTTGGGTAGGGACAAGGGGGTATGATTTTTCCTTTCCTTGGCAATTATTTTACTTTGATTAAACTTTAATAGGAAATGATGATTGCCTTTATTAATGCCTGTTCTATTCCATTTCCTCTCTAGGTCAGGTTGGAGCTGTTTTAATTGTACACCTTATCTTGTCTTTATCCTTAATTCTAAATTGATGTTTTTCCTTTCATTAGATTGTAAACTCCTTGAGGGCAGGGACTGCCTTTTTGTATCTTTGTATCCCCATCACTTAGCACAGTGCCTAGTACATAGTAGGCACTTAGTAAATGTTTATTGATTGATTTTCTTAGGATACTTGGTTATCCCTCCTGGAAGTGTTAATGATGACAATTAGTGCTGGAGTTGGAGTCAGGAAGACTTTATTTCAGATCTCAGCTCAAGACTTAGCTATGTGATGACTGGACAAGTCATTTAACCTCTTTTAACCCAAGTTTCCTCATCTGTAAAATAAGGGTAATAGTAGCACCCACTTCCAAGCTTGTTGTGAGGTTCAAATGAAATAATATATGCAAAGTACTTTGAAAACCTTAAAGTGTTATATAAATGCTAGCTATTATTATCAAATTATTATTATTATTAGCATTAGCCTACATCTGCTGCAGGGATGAGGAGATAGAGAAATTCTATAAAGGATTTGATAAGTCTTTCCAAATTAAAAAATATCTACATAAATAAGTACTTGAATATTTGATGATTTCAATGCAAAAAAGGACATGGGAGGTTGGAAAAAATATGTTGGAAAATATGACTCAGACTTAAGAAACGTAAGAGGCCAAAGGCTTTTTGACGACATAGCTTCTGTTTATCATGAATGTTTGCTTTACGAAGAGGCATCAGACATGACAAACACTAAATAACACCACCAGAAAATGAAATTGATTGTGTGTTTACAGACAGGAAATGACGACTTACCAATGTGAGCGCCATTTCTGATTCATCTGACTGCATAGGTTGGACCTTTGGCTGGTTGGAACATAGATCAAAAACCCAATTAACTTTGTGGAAAATATAGGAGTAGAAGATTTGCTGCAAGACAGTACGCAAGTGATTCAGACGGTGATCCGTGGGCGCTCCTAAGGTTATAGAGTCAGAGATTTAAAACTCAAAGGACCCTCAAAAACCGTGGAGACGAGCTCCCTTTTTGTACAGATGAGGAAGCTGAAGCCCAGAAAAGACTTAAGTGCCTTGTCTTCAAATGAATAGCTGATTTGGGAGGGATTCTTCTGCCCTGGAGCAGCCAGGGAGGACCCCGTGGATCTCGAATTTGATTTTGGGTAGGCAGAGACAGTGGAAAAGGCGTTTCAGTCACAAGCGAGACTGAAGAAAAGACTTGGAAAGAGGAAAGCTGAAAACATTTGCTGGATAGAATTTGTTTTCATTGTTCCATATTTTCCAAGATGATGTGAAAAATGTTTTGTATTTCTCTTTTTAAAAAACCATTAAGTTGCTTTTTAATTCTTTTAAATTTTAATTAATTGCTTTTTAAAGTTAATTTAACATGGTTATCTTGGGGTTGCTTTTTTATTTGCTCATACCAGTGGTGGCATCTGCAGTAGGTATTTGTCTTATCATAGAATCACAGGTTGTTAGTGCTGAGAAGTATGGTTGAAACCATTTATTTCAACACCCTTCACTTACAGAGAAGCAAAGTAATCAGCAAAGTGGATTGTCAGTTTTGTTTCTGACCAAGA